AACAGCTGGGAAACCCCAAATGTTATGGGATATGGGGTAAAACAGCTGGGAAACCCCAAATGTTATGGGATATGGGGTAAAACAGCTGGGAAACCGCAAATGTTATGGGATATGGGGAAAAACAGCTGGGAAACCCCAAATGTTATGGGGTTATGGGATATGGGATATGGGGTTATGGGATATGGGTTATGGGGTTATGGGATATGGGTTATGGGGTTATGGGGTTATGGGGTTATGGGGTAAACCAGCTGGAAATCCCAAATATTATGGGGTTATGGGATATGGGTTATGGGATATAGGGTTACGGGGTTATGGGGTTATGGGTTATGGGATTGTGGGTTAAGGGATTATGGGATTGTGGGGTTATGGGCTATGGGGTGATGGAACCGTGGGTTTATGGGATTGTGAAATGACCCAAGTGTGATCGAGGATCCAGGGATCCTGTGAGGATCCTAAAGGCAGCGATTCCCAGGACAATCCCGGATCCAATTCCCATGGGATGATCCCGATGATCCGAGATCCAACTCCCCGACTTCCCGCTGTTCCGCGCCCCCAGCCCCATCCCAGCTGATGGAATTCCCACCCGGATCCCATTCCCGATCCCGCAATTCCCACCCGGAAAATCTCAGGGATTCCTCCCCGCTCTGGGTCGAGAGTACAGGAACCCGCAGCTCTCCGTCCCTTTATCCCAAACCCCAAATCCCAGGGAATTCCCAAACTCCCAGCCCCATTCCCAGTGCGAATTCCCACCCCATTCACATTCCCGATCCCGCAATTCCCACCTGGAACATTTCGGGAATTCCCTCCCGGCTCTGGGCCGAGGTCTCGCAGTACAGGAACCCCCCCAACTCTCATCCCATCCATCCCATTATCCATGCATCCATCCCGTTATCCCAAACCCCAAATCCCAGGGAATTCCCACCCCAATCCCATTCCCAATCCCGCAATTCCCACCCCAATCCCATTCCCAATCCCGCAATTCCCACCTGGAACATTTCAGGGATTCCCTCCCCGCTCTGGGCCAAGGTCTCGCAGTACAGGAACCCCCTGCTCTCCATCCATCCCTCCATCCATCCATCCCGTTATCCCAAATCCCGGGGAATTCCCACCCCAATCCCATTCCAAATCCCGCAATTCCCACCCAACTCCCGCAATTCCCACCTGGAACATTTTGGGGATTCCCTCCCCGCTCTGGGCCAAGGTCTCGCAGTACAGGAACCCCCCCAGCTCTCATCCCATCCATCCCGTTATCCCAAACCCCAAATCCCGGGGAATTCCCAAACTCCCAGCCCCATTCCCGATCCCGCAATTCCCACCCCGATCCCGTACCCGATCCCGCAATTCCCACCTGGAACATTTCGCGGATTCCCTCCCCGCTGTGGGCTGAGGTCTCGCAGTACAGGAATGCCCGGCTCTCCATCCCTTTATCCCAAATCCCGGAGAATTCCCAAACTCCCAGACCCATTCCCCTCTCTCATCCCTCACTGGGATCCCATTCCAAATCCCGCAATTCCCACCCAGATCCCACAATTCCCACCTGGAACATTTCAGGGATTCCCTCCCTGCTCTGGGCCGAGGTCTCGCAGTACAGGAATCCCCGGCTCTCATCCCATCCATCCCGTTATCCCAAACCCCAAATCCCATGGAATTCCCAAACTCCCAGCCCCATTTCCAATCCCGCAATTCCCACCTGGAACATTTCCGGGATTCCCTCTCCGCTCTGGGCCGAGGTCTCGCAGTAGAGGAATCCYCGGCTCTCGGCCCAGAGCCGCCCCTCGCTCTCGTCCACCACCCGCAGCTTCCCGGCGTCAATCTGATCCCGGGAAAACGGGAAAGTTGGGAATGGCCGGCGATTCCCAGGGAAAACGGGAAATACGGGAATGGCCCGCGATTCCCAGGGAAAATGGGAAAACAGGAATGGCCAGCGATTCCCAGGGAAAACGGGAAACATGGGAATGGCCAGCGATTCCCAGGGAAAACAGGAAACATGGGAATGGCCCGCGATTCCCAGGGAAAACGGGAAAACCGGGAATGGCCCGCGATACCCAATGATCCCACCCCCAGGGTGATCCCAGATCCCAAAAATCCCAGACCTGAGTCCCAGCCCTTTCCCAGGATGATCCCAATGATCCCAGAGCCAATTCCCGGCCCTTTCCCAGGATGATCCCAATGATCCCGGATCCAATTCCCAACCCTTCAATCCCAATGATCCTGGAGCTGATTTCCAGCCCTTTCCCAGGATGATCCCAATGATCCCAAAGGCAATTCCCAGCCCTTCAATCCCAATGATCCCAAAGGCGATTCCCAGCCCTTCTCAGGATGATCCCAATGATCCCGGAGCTGATTCCCAGCCCTTTCCTAAGAGAATCCCAACAATCCCAGATCCAACTCCAGTCCCTGCAGTCCCATCCCAACAATCCCGGATCCAATTCCCAACCCTTTCCCAGTCCCATCCCAACAATCCCAGATCCAATTCCCAGCCCCAATCCCAATAATCCCAACAATCCCAGATCCAATTCCCAGCCCCTTCCCAGGACAATCCCAACAATCCCAGACCCGACTCCCATCCCTTTCCCAAAACAATCCCAATAATTTCAACAATCCCAGATCCAATTCCCAACCCTTTCCCAGTCCCATCCCATCAATCCCAACAACCCCAAATCCAGCTCCTGGCGTTTTCCCAGCCCCATCCCAATAACCCAAATAATCCCAACAATCCCAGACGCAGCTCCCGGCCTTTCCACAGCCCCATCCCAACAATCCCAACAATCCCAGATCCAATTCTCATCCCTTTCCCAGCCTCACCCCATCAATCCCAATAATCCCAGACCCAGCTCCCAGCCCTTTCCAATCCCATCCCAATAATCCCAACAATCCCAGACCCGACTCCCATCCCTTTCCCAAAACAATCCCAATAATTTCAACAATCCCAGATCCAATTCCCAGCCCTTTCCCAGTCCCATCCCAACAATCCCAACAATCCCAGACCCAGCTCCCGGCCCTTTCCAATCCCATCCCAATAATCCCAACAATCCCAGATCCAGTTCCCACCCCTTCCCAACTATCCCAACAAAACCACATCCAACTCCCAGCCCCAATCCCAATAATCCCAACAATCCCAGATC